CGCCTGCTGAAGTAACTAGAGCAGATGGGCGCCTAAACTAATCGTGCACACCCGGCAACCTCCAAACCAGTACCCGCTTTGCCACCCCTGCCCCCTCCCCCAGCCGGCACCCTCTTTCTCGTCCTTCTTCTCCTCCTCTTCCTCCTCGGAGTCCTCGGTAACGCCCCAGGCTCATGTACAGGTGCAAAACCCCTGGCTTGTGGTGATCTGGTGATGTTCGGGAGGGCATCCCGGCTTGTCACCTCGGGCAGTGGCTGTGCCGCGAAGTGGCGGTCACCTCCTTCTCCTTGGACTTCTCCACGTACAGCTCGATGGGGAAGCCGATGAACTCAGAGTGCTTCTTCACCAGGTCCTTCAAGCGTCGCTCCTGCGCAACAAGCCGTACCAACGCAAAGCATTTGCTCGGCGACGAAGGCTTGGAGGTATGGCGATTGGGAGTCATGGTGGACTGGCATCTTCTCGCTCACCAGACGATCGCATCCGCGGCAGATGAGACTCGAACTTCAGCGTCCTCCAGGAACTCGGACTGGTCTTCCTTGAGGTAGCAGATAATCTTCGTGCCACGCTTGATCTCGCCGTGCACCAGCTCAGTGTCCTCCCGTGACATTTCCGAAAAGATACCACCATACGGGCTACCAGCCCTAAATTATCCTAAAGACCTCTGACCTGCCGTCTGCGGAAACTAACTGCCAGCATCTTGACCTACTTCGGCTTACTTCTTCAGTCATCGCCGAGACTGAAGCAGCTCCCCAGCTCAAGTGCCTAGGACCAACAGAAGACCAAAATGACCAGATGCACGCCGGCCTTCTGCACAGTGAAGGATCCGCCGGCGCCGCTCTCCCAGATGTACTGCCTCGTAGAATTGTTTGGAAAGCCCCCAGCCGCGGGCTACAGGAAAATTCAGTCTTTGCCGCTTCTTAGCCCGGAATGGGTTGGACGTTTGCACTGAGAAAGAAGGCTTGCTTGACAAGGCCACACACACTATCCGAAGACATCAAACCGCTGCCCCAATGCGATGCAACTGCAACACCAAAACACTGCCAAAAGCCCACTCTACAACGCCGAAAAACCGCCGAGTTTGCATGCGTGGCACCGTTCGTCTCCCAAGGGGGATCTCTTTGCAGTCTTGTTTTGACGAGCCACTCGTCGTCGTTGTGCTTGCTGACGACACGGACCTTGTCCGAGACGAGGTATGCGCTGTAGAAGCCGACGCCGAACCTGTTGGAGATGGGACTGGGCGAAAGGCAGGGAGAGCACAGACAGGGCGGAAGTGCAAGAACAACACTGGTGGTAGCGAGGCTCTGAAGCTTTGCCGAGCAACGGCCTGACCTCCCCTTGAGCTGCTTCAGCTACCCGTCACATCTCTGCATTCTACTCGGACA